TATTTTCCGTAGGCGAAGATTACAATGAGCAGAGGACATTCTCACATCTCCTAAGCTCCTCAGCCTCTCCCATTCCAGCCCTTTCCTCCTCTGACAGATCTAGGAGGAAAAGGGGAAAGCAGTGATAAATGGTAAGAATCTCAGGATAGGCCAGAAGGCAATGCAAATACCTAATTTACAAGATTTACTGGTTGACCTGAAACCTCCAGGCACCCACCATACTTGAACCAAAAGTGATTCATGAGGACATAAGGAGAGAAACCTTTCAGTTACTGAATTATAAAAGAACGTACACCCGAGAGCTCCTCGCCGGTGATTGCCATCCGCTGATAGTTGACGTCGACTGCATCTCTGCAAAAATCCATAACATTCAATGGTCATATTTTGCTATTTGTGGTTGTGTGACTGAACAATAGAGACGATTTGTATGAGGCCACAAAAAAATCGAACCTGAACGTGTGCATTTCGACGAGCTGTGGACTTTTGGAACGAGAATCGAGCTCTTCCTGTAGACCAGCGGCCAATTTCGGCGACAAGCACATGTAGTCATTTTGAGTCTCGAGACGAGCTCTGAAATTTCGAAGCTTTCGGCAGTGACAAAGCCAAGCCTTCGTCCGAATCTGTGCCATGAAAGCATGCATACATAACAAAGCAGGCATACTGTGCACTAGGATAGTTCAGTAGAAGTCGAGAGAAAGAAGAACAGAATGTAATCAAAGAATAATGGTGATGGAAGTTGAATTTGAAAATAATGTCAACTTACAAGCCGTAGATAATGAGGCACCTCGACATGCGCTTGTCTACTGAGGAATACGGCTCAACGTTAGCACGGCATGTGGAGGCTTACCACGGGAAATCTTATAATCTGCTCAGGATGATCACATGGGAAACCTTTTAATTCAGCTGAAACCCCATCAGAAGGCAAAAAATCCACCAACGATACCATGCAGCCACAAATTAGTCGTACCGATAAATAGCCTATGGAACTTCGCGCGAGCGCTAAGTAGCTTAGGAAGGTCTGCTTTTTCGGAGAATAGATCTCTTTTTTGTTTGCGGCAGTGATCCAAGCGGTACCACTAACGACCTTATCGCGACTAGATAGTCGAGGCTGGATCAGAAGTCGCGGTTAGCATACAGTATTTCCCACCGGGAAGAGAGTTTTCTCATAAGAAAACAGCTGAAGTGCTCAAAGTTGGTGTACGGAGTACTGACAGTTCAATGAATCAGTACGTAGATGCTTGCCTTTCCTATAGCCGGAAGCTTACTTTTAGTGGTATTCTGACTGACGCTGATGAAACCAAATACCGTAGAATTTTTTGAGAATGAAATTGTCCCTATGAAATTGTCTTTCTTACATCCTCCTTTGAAGCAACTTCAGCTTCCTACAGTTCTGTTTTTCATCTGCAGAAGAAGGTACACTCATAGGAAGTCACGTTCACTAAATCCCGTGAAAGCCCTCAAGCTGATTCGCTGAAGGATTAAGCAGGGTTTCCGAGAAACACGTCGCCGACATCGTCGCCAGACGTTTCATGCCTAGACATCCATCTATCGGCGCTTTTAACGAAATTACATGCTGGCTACAACAGCAGACGAGTACTTCGGGCGTACTTCGGGCACTGAGGATTTCATGGGGGAGGGGGTGTTGAAGGCAAGAAGTGGGATGAAATCAGTGTGGAAGAGTGTTCATTAAAGGAGGAATTCACGATTAGAATGAAGGTCGAAGAAAGGGAAACTGACCTAGTTGAGGGACCCACGGACCTCCTGAGGGTGCGAACTGACGCGCAATTCGCATGGAAAAATTTGACCTCGGCGACCTATCATGCCTCAAAGCTGGCGGGTCTGGCATAATCTCCGCCCAGCAAGACCAGCTCTACATGCTATCTTAAATATTTCTAATCCGTGGGAAGGGCTTCTAAGAATGACTTACAGACTTGACCAGGTCCCGCATAAACCATGTGGCCTCTTTCCTAATCTTTTTTGAAGCATGCTCAAAAACGTGATGCGTCATGGGCGCTAGCATCCCTCCAACTTCTTTTCCTCCGCTGGTCAATCCTTTCAAGCAAACTTCGCCTGCTCCTACTCACATGTGCCACTGCTAGTCTTGAGAAGATATCACCTCGAGTCTCACCTCAAGAGTTTTCCTGCCCCGTGAAAGCTCACCTCGCTCTGAGATGGCAAGAAAGCTCTTGAGGGGAGAAAACTTGTGAGGGAAGATTTGAGGGATGTGGGACTAGAAATATTTCTGCCCACAGCTCGCAGAGTTCAGCTACTTCCTGCATTCTTTATCAAGACTCAATAATTGACGAATAGCTGGAGCTTCCGCTCCGTAATGGTTCAAACACACATGTCCTCACACCCGCACCCGGGAGAGGGTTTAGCGCAGATCAATGGTCAAAGCGGTAGTAGCCTTTTCAGACCGATGTCGGGCTCTGCAAACCGAGCGATCCGCTAGCGTCCACGATCGCGTCGGATACGGGTAATCGAGCATCGCGACGCGACCGCGGACGCTAGCAAATCCCTCGATTCGCAAAGCCTGACATCGGCCTCAAGCGGCTCATTCTTGCGGCTCTGACCATTCGATAAAATAACACAGATTGCTCGAAGAAGCGAATCATCCCTACGGTACGCCAAACGTCCATCTGTGACGCACTACAAGTTTACTTGATCGAAGATACTAAGCTCCGCTTAAAGGATCGAAAGGAGTTTTCCAGCCCGAATCTTTAACCAGCTTTCCGAGTGATCCTTCCAATGACTGGAGAATCTACAAGACTGACTGACGGAAGTCAGTGACTCTACGAATGGGGGATGGCCCACATAATTGTAGGAATTATTAATACTAGTGAATCAGTCAGAATCGGTTAGGATAACCACGCTAGTGACCTGCCATAAGTTTAGAAGGACGACGAGGTGAAATTATTCAAAGTCTGAAGGCCCACACAAGAAGCAGCAAATTTCACAGAAAAACTCAGTAAGGCTCAATTACAAAGAATCAATACAACGAAGGAAAGCTTTGCTAATCAGAGAAGAATAGACGTAACCAAAATCGATTTCACAACAGCTTACACCAACAACAATTAGAACGACTCAAAACAACCTACAGGCATGACCACCGTCGATTTTGATTCCTGAGAAGGAAAATATGCTAATTTCGAACCACGTATACATTGACAATTAAGCTGCGCCGAATCCGGGAGTTTAGGAAAAAACGTAAGAAATCAGTGGAGGCTTTTGTTAAAGGCAAGGTCCGAGCTTCCTGGTTGAACTAAGGTTTCCCCCTGAGGAAAAAGCAGCGGTGCGCAAGCGGAAAGCACTTGCACAAGTTTCGGGATGATTTGGCAAAGCTGAGGCGCTAAGGCTCCAGGATGCAGCAGCCCCCTCACTCTCCCAATACATTAGGCCCCCTCAAATCAGTGCTTGCGCTTTGCTGTCACTGGAAAGATTTTTATTCTCGGCCTTGTCGACGGTTTCTCCTCGTCTTTCCATTGCTGGCGTTACACTTCTCATCTCCATCTCTCCTTCTCTATCCTTGCCAGCGCAATTATACATCAGTACGATTTCGTACTTTGCCTTTAAATCTAATTTATGAAACTTTGCCGTAATTACCGGGTACGCAGAGTCAACCCTGCGTTGCGCAGTTCGCAACGGCACGTTGAGAGATCCTCAACGCACGCTGTATGGGCGGAGACACAGACGGCTCGAGCATGCGAGTGTGAATGTTCGCGCGAGAGAACGTGTCTAATCGGGCGAAACTGCGCAACGTGGCCGTTGAGAACTGCGCAACGCAGGGTTGACTCTGGTCGTACGTTAAATTTCATGGGGCTCACCGCTAATTCTTGATAGAGCAAACCGTAAAAGAAATTAGAAAAATGCAAATTATTTCTAGGATTTGAGGAGATAAGAAGAAATGAAAGCATAAGCAGAGCATATGAGCAGAAAGAGAAACACGCGTAGATTTTCACTCACGCTAGGCTGCTGACAAACGCAGCTGCAGTTCACGGAAGGACGGAAGGGTCGCTATGCAACGGGTATCAGGTTAATTTGGCACTATTTACAGAATTCCCCAGAATCTATCAAAAACTCGAGTACCACAAATGAGCGCTCCGCTCTTCGATTTTTCATAATTAATTGAACACGTTGGAAGAGTTATTCAGAGGACATGAACTGGTGAAAGCCCCATGTAGCGCTTCACCGACTAATTCCCCAAACTTTCAGCTTGCAGACGCTTGATAGCAAAGGGACACGGTGTGGTGTGAAATGCCTTCTTTTGCTAGAAACAGAAAATAGATTTAGTTCTAGAAATATTGGGTTAGGAGATAAAGACATCGGCGCCGCTCAGTTCTTTTCTTTCGCATCACATATGCGTGCCAAGGATTTGGTAATGGTGATTTTGGGCAGTATGCTTACTTTTTGGTGCAAATTTGAAACCAAAAGGGACAAAATGCCTTCTTTTGTCTAGAGTTCCAGAGATATTAGATTGCAGGTTCATATCGAAAAGAGGGAATTGGGAAAAATGGGGAGAAATACTCAGTAACCATTTTTCCAGCGCCCCTCTACCCAACAATCAAACGTAATCGGGCGACATTTTGATTGGATACGGTTCCTTTCTATTTGCTCTATCAAACCATGCGCGCGACGTCGCTTTCCCCACTGTGGCAGCAGCGTGGTTCTCCTGACCACATTCCGCGCAACCACAAAGTGGATCTCTTGACCAACACCCGAAGCAGGAGAAAGCGGCACATAGAGGATGGAGATTCAGACGAGGGTAACAAAAGTGAGACCAGATGTATTAGATGGATCAAATATTGTAACTTGAGTTTCACCCTAAGAGGCGTGACATCGCAACGGGAATATATTCTTGACAAACAGCCTGAATTTACGGAACCCACCTGTTCTGGATCTGCTGTTTACGGCTCTCGTTCACTTCGATAGGCGTGTTGGAGAT